GATTGCGGAGAACAACGAAGCGCTTTCCCCCAACCCAATTGTCCTGAACAGAACTGGCGCGTAGAAGGCGATTACGTTGATTCCAGTGACCTGTTGGAAGAAGGGTATGGCAATTGCCATCACTAATTGCGGCCTGTACTTTCTTCTCATGATGTTCTTTAATGGGTTGTCGATGGATTTCGCAATTTCGCTGGCTTTGATCAGGTCGGCGAGCTCGGATTGGACATCGGAAGTGCCTCGGATTCGTTGGAGCATTTCGTCGACCAGTTGGTGGGGCTTGCCAAGCTGAAGGAGACTGTTGGGGGTTTCGGGGAGGAAAAGGGCACCGAGGGTCAAGATTGAAGCAGGGAAAGCGGCCACGGCTAAGGAGATTCGCCAGCCATAGCCGGCTTTGATCTTATGGGTGCCAAAATTGATTAAATTGGCTGTTAGAGCGCCGATTCCGACGCTGAGTTGGAAGCCATTGTTGATTGCTCCTCTGTACTTTGATGGTGCCATTTCAGAGAGGTATAATGGCACAGCCTGCAAATGAAACCAAATTTAGAACTTAAAAAGGCTACGGAACTTCTAATTTAAAAGTTTAAGAACTAAATAGATACCTGATTTGCAAAACCGACTCCGACTCCGAGTAGTACACGACCAAATATGAGCATATAAATGTTCATAGCGGCGCCACCGAGAGCGGAGCCGGCAATGAAAACAAGGCCGGAGAAGATAATGGAAGGCTTACGGCCAAAAGATTTGGTGACAGAAGAGGCAAAGAAGGAAGCCACAAGGCCGGCCAAGTATAAGGAAGATGTGAAGGATGTTAGAAGTTGGCTGTCAAATTTGCAATAGTTGCTTATATCTTTGTCTTCCTTCATCTTCCTATCCACTTCTGGGAAGAATTTCACCAAGAATGCTTCCATTGATGTCACTCCACCTATATATAAATTATAATTATCATTTATTTCGATTTAAGTAACGATACATTTATAAAGAATGGTTTTGTTTTATCTCGACTGAAGAGGGTAACTAAACATTAGTGTAGAAACTCTCCCTAGTGGACAAGTCTTAAAAATTCCATAGGAAGTTCATAAGAGAGTCCAGAAAAGACAACATTTACTAGAAGTGAGTTTAAACAATTACAATTGATACAAGAGCCAAACATTGGACTATTACAGTTGGGATAAGAGTCAGACATCTGACTATTACAAATGGTATTAGAACTATCCTCCAACAGACATTTCTTATAAGGATGTGAAACTGTATAGACATCAAATTGTTACTAATTATATTATAATAATATTTCTTCGGTGAAAACTATATAAATAATATATATTTAGCAATATAAAGTGTTTTTATCTCGAAAATTACAAATCCCAAATAAATATATAAACAACAAAAGCATGAGAAAAAAAGGCAACCTAACTACCATTAGTATTACAAGAGCTACAAATTTAAGTAATTACTTTCCAATATAATAAATAATTTTCTTTTCTTTTCTTTTCTAACTTAAAAAATTAAAACAAAAATACTATCGCTCAAAAGGTCTAAAATAGTATTTAAATTTTTATAATTTATTGTAACAAAGCAAGAAAAAAACCCCAAAATTAAATTTGAAAAATAAAAATATCTAGAAATGAAAAAGAAAATAGGTTAAATTATAATTTTTATACTTTTTCAAGTAAATATTATATAGGTTAAATTAGAGATTTATCATAAACTTTCGTAGGGCAAAGAATGTTTTAACGATTATATAAAATATTAAAAATTAACCAAAAAATTGACCTGAAATTCCAATGTCATAGCCAAAAAGAACACCTCCCATGGCAGCCATCATGCAAGAAAGCACCACAAATGGAGTCATCTTCCCACTGTATTGCCCTCCTTCACTCGCAGCTCCCATTCCCACCGCCATAGCTCTCAACTTCTCCTTCCTCGAACCTCTGGTTTTTACAATTATATATGTTTTAAAGAGAGAAACGGAGAGGGCTTCTTCAAGCAAGCTCTCACAACTTTGATACTTACTTGAAGAACACAAATACAGAACAGAGAGAGAGAAGATCAAATTAAAAGATGCAGACTTGCTTGACTTTGGGACTTGGCAGTGACGAACATTATTGGCCACACATTCATTACTTTATTTATTTTTTTATTTTCTTTTAAAGAAAATTCAAAACTATTCCTACTTTGACTTGCATTATTATGGTATTTTTTGCTTTTTTATTTATTTTTTGTTCTAGTGAATTTATTTTGGGAAATTAATAAGGTATTAGTGAATATATATCCTAACTAATCCTTTGTTTTTATCCATTTAATTAAATTACTTTTTTTTTTTTTTTCGAAATGTCTGTATAAATAGAGATTGTATTTCTTACGCATTATTTCTTAAAATATTAAAAAAAAAACTTTTTTTTTTAGGATTTCTTGAAAGTAAATATTAATTTAATTTAATTGGTTTATTTTTGTGTTGTCTCTATCTCTAGAAATAAATAGACACGTGGCAAATTTATTACAGGAAGAGTGTATTGAATATTCTAAATTGAAAGGTAAGGGAAAAAGATATTAAATGATTAATAATAACAAAATAAAGAATTTGTGAAAATAAGAAAAAAGTGAGAAAAACAATAATAATTATTTAGATGTACGTGTGTACGCAATAAATAAATAAATAAATAAGTGATAGCTGTAACACTTTGGGATCCATTAAATAAATATAATTATAAGAATCTTATCATAAGAGAAGAAAAATATAATTTGAGTTATTGAGATGGGGTCCATACTTTATTATTAATATTTATTGTTCGAGTTTAATACTTAAAATTCATGCTTCACGTTGGTTTGGTCTATGAAATTGTGTTAAATTATGCCTAAAGTTGACATGATCCAATTAAAATAAAGTAATAATAAATAATAAGTTGGTATGTTCATACTACAAAAATAATAATAATAATAATAAATGAAAATAGATATTTAATTATAATTTTACATTTAGTTTTTAGTTTTTACCTATTTAACAATGTTTTCATGCGGTACACATGTTAATATAAATTGTTTGTGTATATTAAAGAAATAATTTATATCTCTAAACCAACTAATAATTATATTAATTTAAGATTTAAAATTTAAAATTTAATAATGGAATAATTTAGCATGTTAATGATTAAGTTCATTTGCAAATGAGCTTCCAAAACACTTCCCATATTGATTCGAAAGGGTTCGAAACTAATCAATCCGTGTAAACATGTGAAATCTCTTTTCAGCAGATGTGTTTTATAATCGTAGACGGATAACAATACACAATAGTCCAAAACGGATAATATTTACTAGAGGTGAATTTGAGCTGTTATAAATGGTATCAAAGCTACGCACCGAATTGTGCCAACGAGGATGCTGGGTCCGGTAGGAAGGTGGATTGTGAGATTTTACATTGGTTGGAGAGCGGAACGAAACATTTCTTATAAAGACGTGAAAACCTCTCCCTAGTAAACGAGTTTTAAAACTGTACTGAAACGGAGGTGGGCTTGGGCTGTTACACTTCTGATTGTTACTTTTGAGCCATGAGCATCTAAATCCCCTCGACCACTAACATGAATTGCCTCCCGAACTTGTCGACCGTAAGCATTGATATGAACGTCGAGCTTGTGCCGATGAGCGAGACCGTTATGGCAGATGGTAGAGATGTGCAGCTTCATCTAAACCAATTGTTTAGAATAGAACATGTGCATTCATCTACTTATTGTCTAGCTCGTTCCAAGTCAAATTTATGGATGTTGGTGTTTTATGCAGTTCTATTGCCCCCATGACGAAGCAAGTCAAACTTAGGGTGATATTACGAGGCCATACAACCTTGTTCGAACATTAAGGCAGTGATAATCAAAACCCAAAGGCAGTCATATAGGTATAAAACTGGGTTGTAACCACCCAGCACAAGCCCACTACTAATAGATATTGTTCACTTTGTCTCGATACGCATGATTGTTAATCTCACACCTTAAAACACGTTTGCTAGAGAGAGGTTTCTACACTCTTGTAAGGAATGCTTCGATCCCTTCTCTCCTCTTCAATCAATATGGGATTTCATAATCCACTCTCTTTGACGTCAGTGTCCTCGTTGGCCACATCTACTAGAAACAGGTTTTAATACTCCTATAAGTAATCTCTCGTTTCCCTCTCCCACCAATGTGAGATCTCACGATCTATTCCTCTTAAGGGCTAGCGTCCTCCCTCGCACACAGCCCGGTGTCTAACTCTAATACTATTTGTAACAGTCCAAGCCTAATACTAACATATATTGTCCGCTTTAACCCATTACATATAGTTGTCAGTCTCACGATTTTAAAACTTTGCTGAGAAGAGATTTCCACACCCTCACCCATGTTCGTGTCACGGAGCAACACGAAGGCAGCCATAATCAAAACCCACCAACCATATAAGAAGAAACAAAAGAAAAGAGAAAAGTTGCAGCCACAATAATACGCTATCCAGCAGATTCAATCTCCCATTTAAAGACCTACCAACCAACCAAGAGAATCCCAATTCCAAGCAAAACCAGCAGCATATATGCATATTAAAACAAGAACCAAATATGCATACCCTTTGCTCAGCCCACCACGATCGCCTAGTTGAGCAGCCATTACAGCCTGCGAGACAAACATTTGAACTCCCCCAATTGCGAACAGAGCTCTTCGGCCAACAACAGCTAAGCACTTCCCTCAAAACGGGATAAATTATTTTATATATATATATATATTAAGTTTAAAGAGATGAATATTTTTTAAATAAAGTAACAAACGATTTTTATTCCCATAAAAATTTTTTTTTTTTTTTTTTTTTTTTAAATTTAAAGGTATTAATAAATTTTTTGAAATAAATATAAATAATTTTGAAGTTATTTTCTATAATTTAACGAATTTAATGTAATTAATTTTTTTTATAAAAAAAAAATAGAAAACACGTTAATATCTATTTATTTTTTATTTGGCGGCTTTCGAATGCCTATAAATATCGGACCGCCCTAACGAAGCGCACGCTGAACTTTTCAGGGTTCTGGAAACAGTGGAGCGATCGTTTTGTCTTGATCTCATCGATCTCTTCTCCCCTTCAAGGACTCCACATGGACTCAATCAATTCAAACCCTAACCCTAATATCGCCATTGAAACCCTAGTTCCTTATCCTCCTGATTATTCTACTCCCGAAAATTTTGAAGACCGCGATCGTGACTCTTCTCTGCCGCAAATTTCCGGACCTGCTGCTTCAGATTATCCCAACTCCTCTTTATATTTGGGACAAGAAATTAAGGAATCCCACGGTCGAAACTCCTCGATTGCTCATAGTGAAAATCCGGGGTTTAGTTCTGGAAACGGATATGCGGACAATCAAGCGGCCGATGGTGCTCGGGTTGGTGCCAATTATGTGCCAAAGGTGGAGATTCAGAGACCGCTGTTGTCGGAGAATGGATTTACGAACACTCATAGTGGAAACGACAAGGAATTTTCCGGTGGCGAAGAGGAGACCACGAGTAGGCGCCGACGTCGAAGCCGATGGGATCCGCAGCCGGAGAATAATGACCAGAGTGGCGGTGAATCTGGGAGCGGTACGCGGAAGAGGAAGTCCCGTTGGGCTGATGACGATCCCAAGCCCGTAATTCAACTTCCTGATTTTATGGGAGGTATTGAATTCGACCCTGAAATCCAAGCTTTGAATAGTAGGCTTCTAGAAATTAGTAGAATGCTTCAATCCGGTATGCCTCTAGATGATCGGCCTGAAGGTGCTCGTTCGCCTTCCCCGGAACCAATATATGACAATATGGGAATAAGAATAAATACTAGGGAGTATCGTGCCCGAGAAAAATTAAACACAGAGAGACAAGAGATAATTTCTCAGATAATCAAGAAGAACCCTGCATTTAAGCCTCCAGCAGATTACAGGCCGCCGAAGCTTCAGAAGAAGCTTTATATACCGATGAAGGAATACCCAGGTTACAATTTTATTGGGTTGATTATTGGTCCTAGAGGTAATACCCAGAAGAGGATGGAGAAGCAAACTGGTGCGAAAATTGTAATTAGGGGCAAAGGGTCTGTAAAAGAAGGTAGACTGCAACAGAAGAGGGACCTAAAGCATGATCCCGCAGAAAACGAGGACTTGCATGTTTTAGTTGAGGCTGAAACGCAGGAAGCACTGGAGGCTGCAGCGGAGATGGTAGAGAAGCTCTTACAGCCTGTCGATGAAGTCTTGAATGAGCATAAGAGGCAACAGCTTAGGGAACTTGCTGCCTTGAATGGAACCATAAGGGATGAAGAATTTTGTAGGTTGTGTGGCGAGGCAGGGCACCGTCAATATGCCTGCCCCTCGCGGACGTCGACATTCAAGAGTGACGTACTTTGTAAAATATGTGGTGATGGTGGGCATCCAACAATTGATTGCCCTGTGAAGGGGACAACTGGGAAAAAGATGGATGATGAATATCAGAATTTCTTGGCGGAGTTGGGAGGAACGATTCCCGAATCAGCAACCAAGCAGAACCCTACATTGGCAATAGGTCCTGGTGCTTCAGCAAGCAATCCTCCTTGGAATAACAATGCAACTGGCGCTAGCAACAAACCACAAGCAGGGGTTGGTGCCAACGGAGTGAAGCCTGCTAAGGAATATGATGATACAAACTTGTATGTAGGTTATTTGCCTCCGACTTTTGATGATGATGGTTTGATTAGATTGTTTTCAACATTCGGTGATATTGTGATGGCTAAGGTTATTAAGGATCGGGTTTCTGGCTTGAGTAGAGGTTATGGATTTGTGAAGTATTCTGATGTTCAGATGGCTAATAATGCAATTGCCAGCATGAATGGCTATCGTCTTGAGGGCCGAACAATTGCTGTTAGAGTTGCTGGCAAGCCACCGCAGCCTACTGTGCCTCCTCTCCCTCCATCATCGGCTGTGCCCACTTATCCCGTTTCAAGTCAGCCTGTTGGTGTCTATCCATCCCAGCAGTTTATGCCGGGTGGTCCTCTTGGGCATGTTCCTCCACCTACAAGTTATGCAGGAACTCCAGTTCCATGGGGTCCTCCGGTTCCTTCTTCATATGGTTCTTATCCCCCTCCACCTCCGGGTTCTAACGTCTATCCGGCTGTTCAGGGTCAGGCCATGCCTCCTTATGGCATCCAATACACTCAGGTCCAGACAGGTCCCCCAGGTGCTCCATCTCAACCTGTTGTGACTTCGGGTGAAGCACATCAGAGTTTTCCTCCAGGAATGCCATCTGAAAATCCTACTAGTCAGTCATTACAAACTACGGCATATGGGAACACTTTATATTCGATGCCACCAAATGCTCAACCCCCCTATCCCCCTTCTTCGTATGGTTACTCACCTTATTATAGTGCAGTTTCTACTCATCCGTTACCCATGTCTGCATCAAGTACAGATCAACCACAACCACCCAGCGGGAGTGTTCCGTGGGCTACAAATCCTCCAATGCCTCCTCCCATGCCGTCTGCAGAGAAGACAGCATCAGGCGCAGATGCAGAGTATGAAAAGTTCATGGCAGATATGAAATAATTGAAGTTCTAATGGAGCATGCTTTGAATTTGGAGGAGGTATAAATTTCTCGTTTTTTTGTTGTTTTTTAATTCTGGGTGAACCTACTTCGATGAAATGGGTTCAATTTCCACTTTTTTCAACCCTTGAAAAAAGAAAAATCAATCTGTTGAAACTAACTTTATTACGGTTTTTTCTATTGTGTTTAATCTCTAACGTTTTTTTTTTTTTTTTTTTTTTTTTTAAATCCCAACTGTTCTATTACTAATCACATTTGATATGTTTCTCCCTCCAGTATGATTAGTCCTGACAGGATCGAGTTATCTCTGTAGCCCTGGATATGGAGGGATCATTCAGCTGTAGGAATAGAATATTGTCTAGCTTGTTAACACATATCTGGTTTCTATATTTTAAAAAAAAATCTATTTTGTCTATTTTGTCTACAGAGTTCAAATATATAGTATTTTCATCCCAATTGTTTAATTTCTATTTTTTTTTTTTACAATAAGGACTTGATTAAAAAGATCAATATATATAGTTGAAACTTTCAAAATATTATAGACCAAATTAAATATTTACCCAAAATTTTTGGACTAAAATATATATTTAACCTATTGCAAAAAAAACATTTAGTTTATATTTCGGCACTGATCATAGTCAAGATAAAATAGGGGTTATTTATCCTGCATTTATCTTTTCTGTATCTGCTCTGCTCTAACATGCTGATGATTGTTGGGAATGATGTGGGTTATATGTGCCATTTTCTCTGCTCTAATTGCTCTGCTTTCCTCACGTTGTTGGTATTGGGTGTGAAATTGCAGTGCACTCATCTTTCCCATGAATATCATTTGTAGTTTTCTTAATGGTGATGTGTATTTGTTGCTTAGTCTCGCAGTTATTAACCATCCAATGGTATCATGTAAAATTTGACAGGACTGATGTTTCTTGGAGCTGATTACTTACCTCTTGCCATGACTTTGTTGGAAGTTTGGGACTCACCTCTTTAACCTTGCTGTACTGTCTTGACATTTGCAGAGATTCAGGCTAGAAGTCCTTGTCACATTTGCCTTGTATTGAAGGAGCAAATTTGATCATATTATTGAAGGATTTGGTTCTGTTCCTTGTGCATTTGCTATCTAACAGTGTCTGGTTAATTTTTGCTTTTCTATTACTATTTTGTGTTTTTACTTTTTCGTTACCTACTTCACAGATTTAGGTAATGGTACTTCTTGAAACATGCTTGTTGCTTATTTATCCTAACAGTTTATTGATCATTGTTTCCTGTTTTGACGTTCCAAGTAATCTCTTATTGTCATGGTGTTGATGCCTACCATCAATTGATCGAGCAGGTAATCTTGGCCTCAGTTTCCATGGGAATGGTGTGGTACATGGAAGAATTGCTTTAACATTTCTTCTGTTAGATGTATGTTGATTGCTTGGGCTAACCCGTTTCTGTTCAGCATAATATGCTTTCTGTTTTAAGGGTTCTATATTAGTTAGTATTACGGTGGTGGTGATGGTATTCTTCATGCCTTCCATCAATCCATCTTGAAGGGATCATGCCTTAGAGTTTTGACTCATGGGGGTATGTGGAAAAATTACCTTGATTTATAGCGTCTTAATCATTTCTTCACGTTTATAATATAATTCTGATCACTTTTTCTAGTTCTCTTATGGCAGGTTAAAGATGTCAAGAGTTGTTAAATCACAGGCTAGTCAGTTTATATATTATAATTCTATTCATTGCCAATTTTTTGTTGGCTTGTGGACAAGTGCTAGATAACTTCTATTGGTGTCGACTAATTCATTCAGTTGGATAGTGATAGGGTTCAAGATACTAACAACTCGAGTCAAGATCAGTCGTTCACGTAGTAGATTATCAAGTTCAAATTGAGCCCATCCTACAGAATTTAGCTCCTGATTTGTCTGATTTTTTATATTGTCTATAATTATGTGGAGCTATAGTATGATATTATACATTCCATGAAGAGATTAGTTTAGTCGATGGATGATGGGTACTTCCATTGTACCAATGGAGAATCCGAACAAGTGTTGCTGCTCATTGGTTTCCGGGAGCATACATACACCCTTCATTTTTGTTCATTAACCGTTATCACCCTAAGCTAAAAGATCCAAGAGTAATATATATTTTTGGTACTTCTTGCATTCTTTCATTCAGAGGAGACTCATCTCAATGGGGGATGCTTATTCCTTTGGGGGGTATTTCCAAGCTGTAGTCTTCTACATTAGCAATGAATAGATGGCATTGGCTTTGATAGATTGTGCTGTGTGTGGCCCCATTTGTTTCAAGGTTCGCTTGGCGTGTTGGTTGTGGTGATCACAGTCGTAGTCACAGTGGTGAGGAACAAGGAGAGTTTTCTATCAAGGGAAAACTCCACCCGAAAAGAGGAGATCTTAAAGTTTGATGTGCTTGTTTGAGTGATTTTATTTCTTTTCTGCGCATCATAGCCATCATATACAATCCAATGGCTTAAATGTTTTAGAGGCGAAAGGAGGATGCATCATCATCTGTAGGGAGGATTGAGAATTTCCTCAGCTGTTTTTGTGACTTTTGCTAACTAACATGATTGTGAGTTGTTAAGGTCAATTGCCATTAGATGATAAAAGTGGCACTGGATGGTTCCTGCTGTCTACCATGGATGTAGTAGTGGATTCTTGCTGTTGAAGAACTCGATTTACAATTGTTTGTTTCTCATACGTGGTGGATTTGGTGGCGTTTTCAGGGAAAGTGATAACTGCAAATATTATCCCTGGAACAGTTGTATCACTTCGTGTTACTTTCGGAGGCTCATACCTTATATATCCTTCTTCTGCATGGATCATCTCTGCTATAATATCAATAGACCCAACTTTCAGAACATTCTCACCCAATTTTTGCACATTCAATGAGAATGTTTTTGAAATTGCTGAAATTACTTCCAAACATGTTTTTAATTATTATACTTTAGTTTAGAATTTAGAGTATTTTATTTTTTATATTTTCAAATGTATTATTTTTCCGATTTTAAATGGTTGAAAGCATATTTTGTTTTATGGACAAAAATGATTTTAACTATTTTGAAATTACTTTGAAACGTTTTTTCTTTAATCTCACTCACATATTTGTGAGGAAGAAAAGGGAAAATGTTTGATTAATATTCCTTTATCAATACAAAATAAAAATGGGAAGAACTATAGTACAAACTAAAATATGATTTTGAATAATATATTATATACTCAATTAGTCTCCATACACGACAATGGGCAAAGAAAAATAGAATACCTAATAAAATAGGGAAGAATTGAGGGATTAATGTGAGAAAAATAATTTTTCAAAAAAATAAACGAGAAAAAAAAAATTAAATAATTTTTATAGCCTCATTAATATAAAACCAATCAAATTTTAAGCTGGCAATGACCATTTAAACTTTTTTTTTTTTTTTTAATTTAAAAGGTAATAATATTATTTAAATTTATGTAACAACTTCATAAAATTTGTACTTTAAGGGAAAAAAAAGAGGTAAATTTGCATTTGACCAAAAATATGAAGGAAAAAAAAACGATGATCAATATTACTAATAAAAGGTAAATTTGTATTGATTAAAAATACGAAAATAAAATTGAGGTTTGAGTTTAAAATTAAAGTTAAATAATTAAATTTGTAGTCATCGATCGTATAAACAGGTCATCTTCCTTGGCAACTCCCCACTTCTAAGATCCCCCTGGTCTAGGGTTCGAATCCTTCTCATTTTTCTTTTTCACCATTTTCCCTCTTTCCCTTCGTCATCTTCAACCTCAAGCTGATGAAGAATCCCGATCCATCTCCTCCGCGCAGAAAGGTAACCCAAATTTCAGGTTTCAGCTTACTATTTTTTTGCTTCCTCTTCAACTTGAACTCGATTTAGATCTAAACCCTTCTCCATCTCTCTGCCTCTCTGTTCCTTCTGCAGATCAAATTCGCCCCAAAATCCACACCGCGCAGAAGGCCACCCCCCGCTCCAAAAACGTACTCCTCTGATCTCATCTTCTTCCACATTTTGGTCTCTGAATTTGCACAAAGTTACAGTCAACTTGTTCTTATCCTTAATTTGTTTGGCGAATTGCAGTGAAGACGAAGATGTAGTTGGTAATGTTGCTCAAACTCGCTACCTCTTACGCCGTGCGACTGTAAGTTCCTTTGTTCTTCTATGATTTTCGAATCCTTCTGTACATTTTTCGTTTGATGTTTAGACGATTTTCCGTCTTTCTGACTTCAGCTTTGGAGGATTGAAATTTGTGGATAAAACATTTGAATCTTTTCCCCAGTTTTTAGCAACTGTTTCACTACAACTTTCCGTTTGGTTCCCGAGAAAAAAAAAAAAAATTGGGATGGATATGAATCGTTTTCGAGCAGCGTTTGGGGTTTCTCATTTCTTGCGAGATGAAAATAAATTTCATTTAGGAGAATAATTTGTGTGATTAGTGGACACGTGTATGCCTCAGCTTTAACATTTTTCTTAAACTAACTTTTAACACCGTCTGATCTGACCACGTGGCATTCACTAATGTTAGTTCATGAACTGTTCGAATTCATTTGATTCTTTCTCCACTTTGTAGGAGAATCTTGGAAAACGAGGGAACAAAGTCGAGAAAAAATGTAAAAGTCCTTTTCGAAATTCATGTATTTTTTTCAATGAAATTTTGACGGTCTAATCCCATATGAACAGATTTGTTTTCTTGTTCATAATCAAGATTGTTGCATTACCTTTTCCTCTATTTTGATATCCATATCTGCAGCTTCTGTGCAAGTTGCATTCGGGCCTGGTGCGGCATCGGCATCAGAATCATCTTCTATTAGAACGTATGGAGTCCCCAAAATCGGAAACAGTAGCAGAAAAAAGGATATTGAGCCTGAATCTGCTGAAGATGAGGAACTTATCTTGCCTCCGCCTATGGATTTCGAAGAATATGGGAAAAATCTCAATGAAAAAACAGAGGATGCAACCAAGAACACGAAGGATTACAAAGAACCATGGGTAATTTCTCTTTCTCCATCTCACATTTGGCGCGCGCACACACAGATTAGCGTCCTGATTTCATGATATTTTCTCAGGATTACCATAATTCTTACTATCCTACTACGCTTCCTTTACGGATGCCTTACTCTGGAGATCCTGGTATGTCTTTATTCTCTTGAAGTCACTCAAAATCTTATAATCAATCTTGAAAACAGAAGCGGACCTTTATGAGTTCTTAGATTAGGGCTTGTTTATCTCTGCTGATATGAACCTCTTACCTTGGTGGACGATGATTCTGGGTTTGTTCTGTAATTGCTAACTCTATTGCCTCTTGTTGGGGTTTAGAAATGCTTGATGAAGCTGAGTTCGGGCAGGATGTGATGGATAGGGAGTATGATGAGAACTCTAGTATACCTGCCTTGGATCTTGGATTGCTGGTTGGTGAATGGATTGATAAATGTGGCTTGAAATATATTAATACATGCAGGATCTAGTTATAATATGGTGGTGTTTTGATGGTGCAGGATGAAAATTCTGAGAATACTAGGTACTTTTTTCAGCTTCCTGCTTGTCTTCCTTTTCCCAAACGATCATCTACTTCAACGGGAAAGGAGAAGGTAGGAAACTTGAGATCTTCAATCAGCACTGCCTCATCAGAGCTGGGCGATTTACGGAACCTGCCCGGTGGATATATGGGGAAACTACTGATATACAAGAGTGGAGCTGTTAAGTTGAGGCTGGGAGATACACTTTACGATGTGAGTAATGTCATTAGTGTTCTAAGATCGAAATCGAGAATTGTTAATGTAACAGCTTAAGCCCACCACTAGCAGATATTGTTTGCTTTGGCTCGTTATGTATCGTTGTCAGCCTCACGGTTTTTAAACGCGTCTATTAGAGCTAGAGGTTTTTACACTAAGGAATGCTTCGTTTCCCTCTCCAACCGACGTGGAATCTCACAATTCACTCCTCTTTGGGGCCAGCTTTCTTGCTAGCATACCACCCGGTGTCTGGCCCTGATATCATTTGTAACAAACCGTGAAGCTGATAGCAATACATAACTAGACAAAGTGGATAATATCTACTGACGGCGGGCTTGAACGGTTATATGTTACCGTCCTTGTTTAGAGATCATACATAGTGATTTGCTCTGGTTCTCTTTTTGGGGCTGTTGCAGGTTTCTTCTGGTTTAGACTGCAGTTTTCTTCAACATGTTGTGGCGATCAACACCGACAAGGGACAGTGCTGCGATCTCGGAGAAATTGGCAAACGAGTCGTGGTGACACCAGATATAGGTTCCCTCTTGAATTCAATGACTGACTTGGGATGAACTTGAAGAACAGGCCTGCGGATAGAACAACCATCTCAAAAGGAACAGGAAAGAACGGCTAATCCTTACAATGTCAAAATGGATATGACCAATGGCTGTGTACTGAAAATGCTCACTAGGTAAGGAACTTGCGTTTCGCTGCTCTTAGGATGTCACATTATTCATCAAACTGCCTCCTTTGTTAATCCAATGCAGCAAGAACGTGTTCATTCTCTCTAATTTCTAGCTGTGTAGTAGTAAACAATGTGGATAACTGTAAATGTTTTTTTGTTTTCTTTTTTAATGGTAAGTTAAGCTATGCTCTAAATATTGAAGATAATTAATTAATAAGATCATTAATGATTTTTTACACTACACTTACCATCTTTTAAAAATGGATTAAAACACTATTTTAGTTTTCCTTCTTTGGAACTTATTATATTTTAGCCACGCACTTTTAAAATGACTAAACTTCCTCCGAGAGGTCTTTTGGACCAAGGCAAAGTGGAGTGAGAGTGCAGATCCCTAGTTATGGGTATCAAACCGTTTCCCTCATAATCAGAATAAGAAGTGAAGATAGACTTAGTGGGGAAGGCTTTCCGGGGCGCGAATGAGAAGATAGGCTAGGTTTCGATACATGTCTAGTTGGCGCAGTTGGAAGTTGCTTGGGAAGATCTGTGCTGGTTGGTAGACTTGCTGTGTAGCATTTTAATTCGATGGAAAGCGAAGAACTTTACCAGGGCTTGACATGCTGCAAATACTCTTGAAAGAGAGGGTTGCCTTCAAGAACGCGGACACAGGTGGTGCATGGCTGTCGTTAGCTCGTGTTGTAAGGTGTTGGGTTGGGTTAAGTCCCGCAACGAACGCAACCCTCGTGCCAACCGTTGAGGGGGTACGAAAAATATTTTAATTTTTTATTTATTTGTGGTTTATCTCGTATTTTCATCCTTCTTTTTGTGCCTGACACGGAAACAATCATGATTGTAATCTTGTTTGACGATCTATGTTTGCAAATATTCATAAATAGCACCGATGAGATTTTAATGATAGATGATGCTCGAACTAGAGACTACAATTACTACTATAAACCTAATTAACAATGCATAAACTATTACGTGAGCCAAAACGACAGCGTTTGATAGAGCCATGTCAAGGGACAAAATTGTAAAAATGCCAAACATAAGGCGTTTGCCCTAGAAAAACCCTAGTTTGACAACCAGACTTATATACCTCAATTCTCTCTTAGCTACATTCGTCTTCTCCGCCGAGCGCTGCGAAAATGGGTACGTACTAGCGTCATCTCATTGTTCTCCGATCCTTGCCTTGCTTCCAAATATGTTTACTCGAGCCGTATTTCTTGACCTCCTGCATTTTCATTTTTAATCACAATTCATCAAAGTATAGGTTTGTATGTTGATACTAGTTTTGCTGAAGATTTTCATGAGAAGTTTCTAAACATAGGAAGATTTTTGAATGCTTATGTTGACACAATGGGAGTGAAAGTGCTTTAGATCTCTTTCTTTTCTCTTTTTCGTATTTGTTGCGTTTTTTCTAGCTGGAAAATTCGTTCTTTAGAACCTTATCTTTTTTGGGTTCGACATTGATTTTGTGTCGTTATCAGGAGCTTATAAGTACGTGTCTGAGCTATGGAGGAAGAAGCAGTCCGATGTGATGAGGTTTCTGCAAAGAGTAAGATGTTGGGAATATCGCCAGCACCCTTCAATCGTTCGTGTTACGCATCCCACTCGCCCGGATAAGGCACGTCGATTGGGCTACAAGGCCAAACAGGTACATGGATTTCAATACCTTTGCCTCTCTGGTACTTTCTTTATTATGTTTTTTTTTTTTGGTTCTTCACGACATGTTGAAGAACTTGAGAAGTAATGAGAAAAAGAAGGAATTCGTCACTTTTTGCTGTGGGTTTTTTCCTAAGAAGTTTTGCGCATTTGCATAATTCGTTTACATGTAGAATTTGATACTCCATCTATAAAATAATGACATATACCCGCGACCCTGCTTTGATTTATGCATTACTTAAGTCTTTCCTGGACCGTCTGTCTTATGGGTTGTTAGACCTTAGACAGAATTCGTTTTTATTGCTTTGTGTTTCTGTTAGTTTTGTCCAACTCGAACTTGGGTTTGTTTTTTATTTTTTTAATCAGATGCATTGTTAAGAAATAAATGTTTTTAATTTTTTGTATCACTCTGGTTTTTCTGCTAATTGAGTGAAGTGCTTTAACTAGGAAAAAAATGTGAACCACATTGAGGAAATACTGACTCCTTCCACACTTCTCTTCCTTGTCGAAGTTTCTATTTGATCATTCAGTAGCTTGATGGAATGTTTCTTCTAGTCGCTTAAGTAATTAAGTTTGATAGAAGTAGTTTTGATATTTGTTTTGCCAGAAGAGTGGATGACTTGCGATCTTTTAATCTTGCACATTAAAACATAGATCTCGAATATGAAAAAAAAGGATATTCCCCATTTGATTTTTTTGTGGAACCATTTTCTTGTGTTTGTTTGAAAATAAGAAAACTATTTTTCTATCATCTGTCTATTATTGTGCATTCGCTTATTTTATTAACTATTTTGTAGGGCTATGTGGTATACCGCGTACGTGTGAGGCGTGGTGGAAGGAAGAGGCCTGTTCCTAAGGGTATCGTATATGGTAAGCCAACAAACCAGGGTGTTACCCAGCTGAAATTTCAACGCAGTAAGCGTTCAGTTGCTGAGGAGCGTGCTGGGCGTAAGTTGGGTGGTCTTAGGGTCCTCAACTCCTACTGGATTAATGAGGTAACAATCAATCAACTATATTAAGATGAAATGAAATGATCTTGACATTGACATACACTTATTCCTCATACATTGTTTTCTCAATGAACCAAATATCCCAAAATATCTGAGTCACTTCTTAACCTTCCCCTATGAGCCCTGCATGCCTAATTTTTTGTTCATGCTCTAGCGTTTCTCTGATAATTTCTCTTTGCCACTTACTGCAGGATTCAACCTACAAATACTTTGAAGTGATCTTGGTTGACGTTGCCCATAACGCTATTCGTAACGATCCTAGAATAAACTGGCTCTGCAATCCTGTACACAAGCACAGGGAACTTCGTGGACTCACATCTGCTGGGAAGAAGTACAGAGGTCTTCGTGGAAAGGGTCATCTCAACCACAAGGCAAGACCTTCAAGAAGGGCAACATGGAAAAGAAACAACACTCTCTCTCTTCGTCGCTACCGTTAATCTCAGTGACATCTTCATTAGATTCTATATCATCCTTTTGTTTTGCTCAAGTGCTTGGTTGTCGAAAAGAAACTTTAGCTCTTCCAAGTTTTTGTTTAATTTTACTGTTAGGCAAACTGGTTTTTGGATTGGTTCTTCATGTGGACACATTTTTGGTTCTTTTCTTGAGAAAACTTCGGTTATTTATGTTACAAAGGTTTTTTCCCCTGAGAAGATTAAAGCATCATTTGCAACAATCGAAAGCATATTTTTGAAATAAAAGTGAGTTTAACCATTTTAGTTCACTTTTAAGTTTGGAATTATTTCATGTAACTAAATCATTTTGTTGAACTAGCTCGATTAAGTTAAAAGTTTTTTTCTTCATCAAAATATAGTCCCTTGTATTATCAGATTTTATACTTTGGTGGTTTAATGGAGAGCTCGAATGAGAACATTGGAGGAATAGATGGTCAGAATTTCATATGGGTTTGAATCTTATTGAGAGGTTCACCCCAATCTCGATGAAATTAGACGCAAAAACGTACTTGATTAGACGTAACACAAAGTCTTGCTCGGTTAGCTTCGACCGTGTTTCCTTTCAAGATAACCATAAAAACGTACCTGGTTAGGCGTTATATCTTCCCATTCGCATGTGATTGAACTCCAAATTTGGAAGTCCTACAGCCATAGAATTGAGGAAACCCAACAACTAGAAATGAAAAGAAGAAAAAACTACCGAACGGTTCGGTTTTGGGAAAATATTGGCGGGACCAACCGGACTAACCTAACCGGTCCGTCCGGTCTTTTTTCGCGGTAACTTTAATGTGCCGTCATCAGAACGAATCCCTGCGACTGTCGGGGCTATATTCCAGATTTTGAAGCTCGGAATCCGATTCCATTCTAGGTTGTGGACTTCATTTGTTCCGATTGGCAAGAGATCCAAGATCATAAGAAAACTCAACCAAGGAAAACAATTTCCTGATAAATTGAGCTCACTCCATTTCAAATGCCAAAGCCTGAAGCCGCTACAGAATCTCAAATGGCCAGTGACAAGGACGCCACCAATCTCTCTCGCACGTTTAAGTACTTAATGGGTCAGTTGAGAGCTCGGTGTTTTATTTATTTTCGCCATGTGTCTTCTGTTGTTGTGCTGTAGGCTATTAATTTGGCCGAGAATTTATTTTCTTCTCCAATTGATCATGGTTGGTATGGAAAGTTCATGCGGATTGATGTTTTTTTGTTTCAGAATAAAATACGGATAAATTTTATTTCTGAACAGTTTTAAAGACCCTGTTATTCTACAAGCTCGATGATTTTCCGAATGTTGATTGTGGATAGTTTGAGGAGTGAGTTTGCCTTTTTAGTACAAATTGACGAGTTTTGTTGAGCCAGGTTCTTAGTTTTGGTTTTATTCTGTTTCTTTGGGAGTATAGGGGTTGAGCAGAGCCAGATTAATTGAATAAACCCACACGTCTTAGTTCATTTCCAATAACGTTCGAGTTTATGCTTTAACAATCTGATATTTCTGTTGGATTATGGTTCAGCTACCCAATTCTTGTCAAGAGGCATTCCATTCATCTTCAATTTGTGGATAGTGAGGCATCTTACGGAAGAGGATTATGCGGTACTTGTTCTAATCCATTTCTCTTCCATTCGTTGGAATTTAGATGTATTTTTGTCACTGAGTTCATGTTGATATTTCTCATGCAATGTAACTTAACGTTGACGAGTTAAATCTACTGACGACCTTGTAAGTCAGAACCGGAAGAAATTAATTGGGAAGACACAACTAAAACATAAAAGAAAAAATGAATTCATCAATTATTGTGCAACGCTTGAAAGTTTCTTCCTAGAAGATTCCTAACCCCACCCCCAACGAAGTATTTGTAATTTTGAACTATTGTCTACATGTTTGTGGCTTATTTGATAAACGTTTTCTTTAAATGCAGGTTTATGCAGTACAATTTCATCTCTTTGTGACTTGTGTTCTGTTTCTTAGCCGGGAGGGATTTCGACGAGCATGCATGCGGGCAGAGTTAAGGTGCTTTCTCATGATTACTGGTGCTGTATTAAGCACTTCCTCAACCACTATATATAGCATTTTTCAGTTTGTAATGTTGATTTGTAACTTCTTTGTTGCTGTATTCCAGCTATAAATTTTATGCTCTTGAATTAATTTTATGTTACGCAGTGACAGCACTTCAGTTGAGGAAAATTCAAGGAGGCTACTTAAAGTAGCCTGGTTAAGTTTCCCACTTGGACTGGTTATTACTCTTGCTGCATGTTATCTGGTTCTTTGGTGGCAAGATATTCCCTTTTCTAATCCATATGCCCAAGCCATCTTAATTAATGGTAACCATGTTCCTTTTTACTTCCAAACTCTATATCCTTCAACCATAGCGTTCCCGCTTTTTTACTTTTGTATTTCTTTTATGGCAGGATGTGCGTGTATTTTAGAGCTATTGGCAGAGCCCTTGTACATTCTTTCTCAGACCTTGCTTCTTCTTAAATTGCGACTTTTAGTTGAAACCATGGCTACATTTTCACGTTGCATGACGATGTACATCCTCCTAGTGAAGTCAAGTAACATGGTAAGATTTAGAAGACACCAACTGTCTGTATTAATACTCAACCTCGAAAGCCTAAGACATCATCCCTATTGACTATCACATTCTCCATTACTCCTGCCCTCATGGGTTAGTTAGTTTTTGTGCATCTCTTATTGCATATAGGCTTTTGTATGGAACATTGTGAATTATGCTTTATTATCGAGGTGACCTCACATGAATTTACCTTATCCTGATTGTGATGTATTCATTGATAAATGTCCTAGAGCTGTAACATGGTCCGTGCTTCTTGGTCAGTTGTCAAAGTCAACGGGTCATTAGGTGGTTTTAATACATTGCAGTTCTCTAGGCTAGTTTGTGGATAAATTGGGAAGGGTGTCTTTTTGCTGTGTATTCTAACGGTTCTCTGAGGATAAACTGGGAGAGAAAGGGAAGCTATCAAATCTTCCCTAGTTTATGTTGATAGGTAAAATTGTTGGCTTAGGCCTATCAGCTTGTAATCTATTACTATTACTTTATTGTGTCAAATTGTATGTTCTGAAAATTCACTCTTTGAAATATATAGTTAGTTCATCTTTTCTAGTCTCAACCTTTTGAACCCCATAACAATTATATATCGATTGCTGCTGCTAACTAGAATTCATTGGCTACTGGCAGGAGAAAGGAATCATATTTTCTTTATCACAATCTGCATACGGCGCTTGCTTGTTCTTAGGATACTGGGTCTACTTTATTTATTTTCGTGCATTTAGATGGTCAGATCTTTTTCCTTTCAGGTACTTACCATTTTATTCAACATATTTGCAGTAATTTTCTATAAAGTTAATTATTTTGGTTCTCTATGGATAAAAAATTCTCTGCCTGCAATACATTTATTTATCATCCGAAGTGTGTTTTGCAAGAATCTACATAACCATGCCTTTCTGCGTTTGCTCCTTTTCTTCCCTTCTTTTTTTCTTTCTCCCTTTTTTCTCTGGATTCAGAAAACTTTCCCCAAGGAAAAGTATTTTGAATCTACATGCAGTTAGTTTTGCAAATAAAATGTAGTGCGTCATTTTTACTAAATTTGGAATGAGATGTCAGTGACAAGTGCAATGAGGGTGTGTTTCTTGCACAAAGTTAATTCAAGTTAAAGTTTGTCAGTATTAACTCTTATATTTGCCACATTGAATTTCTGTTTTCCTTTAAATGATGGATGGATGACTTACACTCCCGCTTTTCTTTACCTTTTTGAATTATGTAGTTCTTATGGATTGTTTTTGCAGAATAGGAAACATGAAGGATTTTGATAAGAAGCTTTCAAACATGTGCATATTATTTACTTTACAATCCTTCAGAAAGTTGGTTCTTCAAGAAGGCGAAAAGATGGTTCTTGTGTGGTTAGATACACCATATAACCAAGCTGTTTATGGTTTGGTAGATAAATTGGGTAAGCGTTTTTTTTTTTGAGCTCATGGTACAATTTCACCCTGATTTCATGCAGGTGAATTGCCTAAAAGTCTGAGACTCATATCCAAATTATTGTACCTCTATGGATAAGATTGTGAAGATCTTGATATTCTACTATCCTCAACTCAATAAGTATATTAATAGTAGTTATTTACTTATATTCAGGAAGTTTAGTGGTGCGACTGGTTTTTCTTCCATTTGAAGAAAGTTCGTACACTACATTTGCAAGGTCTGCATCAGGTTTATATATTCATCTTAATCCTTTATTTAAATTACAAAAGAAATTAGAATCTTAAGTTTTTTTTTTTTTTTTTTCTGTCTTCTAAGTATACATATTTTTATTGAATTCCTACACTGTAGGCTTGGGAAAATGGGTTTATGCTACATGGCTTAGTTCTCAAACCAGACCCCTTAGACTTGTTCAATTATAGTGTATCGATTCAAGCTATAAATAAAGTTCCAGAGTTCAACTATGGAATGTTTTAAGATTTTTGTCTAGTATAATTGTTCAATCTATCGGGGTCTAATTTATTTGGTTATATCATTCTCCCGTTTATTTTGATTTCTTTTATCCTCCTCCCACTCTCTTACTTATCGTTCCCCGATCATCCTTGCTTCCTTATTTACACATGTCATCAATGAGGAAGGGAAAATATTAATTTTCTTCAACATTCGAAGTGGGGGCTAAACGATTCTTTTAGTATTCACTATTTAGCAACTCCATAGAACATTAGAATGCAAGGCAAGGTTGGTTTTGTTTCCTACTGTTCCTAGAAAAAGGGGGCAGGACTAGACAGTTTAGTAGAGATGATGGTCTTGCCTCCATCTATCAGTATTCAAGATTTGTGGATATAATGCATTTTTTAAAATTTACTTTCAGAAACTATTCTTCTGATTTCTGGTTCATGTGCATTTATAAATTGTTATAAAACAAGCATTTTAATGAAGATGGCTAGTTTGTGGATGAAAATTCCAAGAAGCACGCTCCAAAAAGGGAAAGGGAAAAAAAGACCTTTCTCATGACTTCAAATTTTTCGTTTGCTGGTTTTTATTTTGACTTGCTTTCTATTTGATAGGAGAACACCCAGATAAAACCAGAAAGCTTGGTATCTGTCTTTCAGAAGCTCTCAAGTTAGTTTTGCTGATTGGTATGAAATTTCAATTAATTCTATTACTATAGTCTTTGTACACAATTATTTGTGATTGTCC